ATTTTATTATGAGTATTCTACATTATTCGAGAAAAATTTTCTGCGTGAATGAATTCAGATCCCCTTGTTGATTGATGCACTGATTTGCAAGCTTATTTCTCTCGTCTGTCATCTACAATAAATCTATAGTTAATATCAAGTGTGTGTGTGTGTATACATATGTACTGGTGACGTTGACACGTTATGATGTTAGACGTTACTTTTTTCAATTCTTCCTGCAATCGTTGCTTATCTTGCTCATGATTAGAACACATTGCTTCCATCTTCATCAAAATCTCCTGTACGTCTGACTTTTCCAGTAGTACACGTTCCAGTTCCAACTCAAGATCACCTAAATTATTTACATTTATATTATAATTCATTTAAAGGATATAATCCGTGAGTGAGAACACGGGATACCTTTGCTTTTTTCGATCTGAGAGATTAACCCGTCAGTTTCTAACTTTTGCTGTTCCAACATGTCCTTGGCAAGATAAGTTTTACTCAAATCTTCTCGTAACGTTAAAAGCTCCTCTCTCATTTTACTGCATCTATCCTCCTCCGATCGTAAACTCAATTCCCTGGAAATCGTATTATAAAAAATATATGTAATAATTTGTGACATAATTGAAAGTGGTATATAAAATACAATTGATTTATTTACTTCAAATCAACATCCTCCGATATTCTGCCAAGCTCATTTTGTAAATACATTTTTTCATCTTCCAAATTGTCACACAGCTTTTGTAATTTGTTATTCGTCTTCTGAAGTTTCTCGTAATTATTTCTAAGAGCCTCCATCTATAATATAAACAATGTCAATTAACTATAACAATGAACGTATAGGAAAGATTAATTAATGGATCTTACCGTGCTATTAAGTTCCATTTTATTCTTATCCAACGCATTCTTCTCCAATTTCACCGTGTTGAAACTTTTCTGCAGCATGTCCTTTTCTTGATCTAGTTGTGCGCATTGCGAACGACATGTATCCAACTGAGAGATCAATTCTGCAACCTTCGTATTTAACATCTGAGCGTTTTCCTCCGCGTTGTCGCACTGCTTGCGCATCGCTAAAATCTGCTCCTTGTTCGTTTGTGATTTTATCTAACGCGACAAAATTTACAGACAAGTCATAAATTGCGAGTAAAACTTCTTCGTTCTTTTTAATAAGATACCGCGTGGACGTTACACGTACCTGTAACTCGCGTATCGTTAACTGATATTTCTGCAGAGCCGCTCGTACCGCGCTTATAGTACTCTCGGCAAACGCCGGTATAGCGCTACCTCGCGTGCTTCTCTTCGGCGATCTCTGCTGGATCAGTCCACTGGGCGACAGGTGATGGATATGCGGGGATGCCTGTTTAGTGTCGGCGTCCCGACTTTCGGCGTCCTGAATCACGGCATGCGCGATATCTCGTAACGCGGATGCCAGTACCTCGATATCCTCCTGCATACGCACACTTTGGCTCACTGCCGCCTCAGAAACGCCGCATCTTTCCTCCTACGTTCCGAAAAGCACACCGGTCAAAATGAAATCTTGATATAAATTATTATATATGAAGTAAATTGATGCTTACTAAATTGCGGATTTCTCGAATAAGCTGATCTATCCGGTCGTCTTTGGTACGAATTTCATGCTGATCGGCAGCATGTTGTTGCTTGAGTGCCGTGATCTCTGTTTTTAGAACAATCACGGCGTGTTCCTCTTCCTGTTGTTGCATTTTCTGGGACGGCTAAATATAAAGTAGGGTACAATGTAAAATTTTAATTACAGATAAACGTAATTACAGATTGTATATAATTATCAATTCAATTATAGATTCTACCGTGGATTGCGCTGCAGTTGCTTGAAGCTTCATAGTGAAATTCGTACTATTGCACGCCGATGTCATTTCGTTCGACGATGAAATAATTTCGTTCCGTAGTTTGGATAAGTCCCTTTCCGTAGTAGATTTCATTTCTGCGAACAGTCTTTTAACGGAGACGACATCGCGCCACAGGTTCAGTAATCGGTTATGCTCAGAGATGTAATATTCATTGAATGCCTGTTCTTCTTCCTTCCACTCGTCTTCCTTAATAGCCAATTCCTCTCTCAATATGTCCCAATCGTTACTTAGTTTTTGCAAATCATTGGTTAGTGCCTCGTTTGTTTGATGAGACTCCTCGAGCTGATCTTTTAGGGATGCGTTAAGTTGTAAAAGTTCCTCACATCTATAAAAAAAGAAACGTTTTTAAAATGCAACACGATTCTACGTATCTATCTGATGTAGGGATGCTTAATGCTAATCTATATCAGGGATTTGACAAATTGCAGTTTACATAATTATTATTATATGTTGAATTTTGTCGATAAAATGTTTGTGGAATTTGTTATATAAATTCCTACATAAGAATATCCTCGCCATCTGCAAAGCCTAAAATATTTACTGTCTGATCTTTTACAGAAAAAAATTTGTTTACTCCTCAATCTATGTTATTTTTACGTACTTTCGCCGTTCCTCTCTGAGCTTTTTCAAAGCAGTATCCATGTCATGAATTTGCTCCTCGCGTATATCCCGAAGTGTTTGATGGGCAGCCTCTAGCACGGTGGTGGAGGACACTGTGCCTGTCGCTGGTTTACTATAGTCGCACGGAATTGTCTCTGCCATCTGATTCTCCAGTTCCGAACACCTCTGTTTATACTGCAGAACCTGAAATACTTACAATTGTTATTTACTTATCATTGGCAAATCGTATTGTTCGCGCATCAACTAGATCTGTGTTTAATGAGGAAAACCAGCGATACTTGCTTTAGCTTGTAACCGCGAGACAAGAGCAGCTTGATGCTGTTGAGCCTGCCGATA